ACTCGCATTACTCGCATAAAATCGACTTCACGCTCCATATTGTGAAGAGCTTCGCATAGTACTTGGTATACAGTAAACGCTCGATACGTCATATCCACTGCTTTCTATCACTCTTGGATGTTTTTCTCCCCCTTCCTCATTTTTTTTCTGTTTATTACCTCTGGAACTTATTTTTTTAAAAATGTTTTTAGTTTCACATTAAAAGAATGAGACGGGGACAAAAGAGGGAAAAATATGAGCAAATCTGAAAACAAAAGAGAAAAATTGGAGAAATACGGAATAGAGATAGGAGGTGATACTTGCCCGTGGGATGGTTGTTACGTATCCCATTTACTTTGTCCTGCCTCCTCCGGCTTGCTTGTATTCTCAGGTCCTCTGTAGGTAACAGCAACGAAAGGGGGTTGTGAAAGATTTAAACTCCCGGCTATGTGTGAATGTGGGCCCCCGTCTTAGTGCACCTGCCCGCCCCCTTCCCTGACCCTTCTCACCCCAATAAAAACGCTGCATTCGCACCGAGCAGCGCTACCCTTTGGAGGTGCCGCATTCCGCCAAGGTAGTTCTTTGAGTCTTCCCCTGGCACCAGACGAATAGCTCCAGAGTGCAGTTCATTGTCTCCATTCCTCCCCTGCCAGCCTCTCCCTACCTCTGTTACCCCTTTCTCAGTGGGAGGCCGAAGGTCCAGTGCCCGAGGCGGAGACCTTCCATCGCTTTGAATTCCTCTCCCTTTGTTCCCCAGCAGAACTGTCTGCCGTTTCCCGGCTGCTCTTCTCTACACGCTGGCACCTGACCTGGCTCCTCACCTCTCCTCGCTGGAGCTCCTCTCCCAGCCTTTCCGTTGGCACCTTATTGCCTTCATCTCTTCACTCTCAAAGTATCCCACACCCTACTGGCTTCCTAGAACAAGTTTTTGTAACATTAAAAAAAAAAATCCTCTATTTAGAAGCCAACAGTCATTCCGTATTCAGGCTGCTTTGCCTGATTGTGGGTATAATTCACCCTTTCCTTATTCCAGTGGAGTTGACAACTACTAGTCTATACTCTTTCCTCCAGCTAGGGAATGTACTTATTAATAACAATAACATATTACTTCTGTGGAGCCCGCCCTGTGCCAGAACTGTTCGACATGCTTCCCATTCACTGTGCTCTTCCCAAATTTAAAAAGTTCAGTGAGGGCCTGTAGCATGGTCAGTGCACTCACAGTTACTGACTCTTGGCGACTGCTCAATAAAAGCTCTCTTTCTGCACTGCACCCCACATGCCGTGCTGAGTTCTACCCTCTTGCCTTTATTCACGGTGTCCTCTTTTCCTAGAATATTTTTTCCTTTTGGTGTATCCAGTTTATATCTAGTATCCAAATACCACATCGGCTCATTTAATTCTCATGTTGTCAAAATCCTATTTATAAGGAGTTTGGCATAGTTTACCATGCAACTCCTTTCAATGTGATCAGTTTTGCCTTTCACTTTTCCCAAAATTTTTTATTTTTTTAAAATATATCTTTATTGATTTCAGAGAGAGGAAAGGAGAGGGAGGGAGAGAGAGGTAGAAACATCAATGATGCGTCATTGATCGAGCCCACAACCTGAGCATGTGCCCTGACCGGGAATCGAACCCCGATTGCGTGGATCCTAGGTCGACGCTCAACCGCTGAGCCATGCCTGGCCCAGCTCCCAAAATTTTTAACAATGCTTTACGAGCATCAAATACTTGTAGAATGAATGCATTCCCCCCTCCTCTCGTAGACAGTAACTTTCTAAAAGGTTTAGCCCAGGCCCTCATTTGTTCCCATCCCCTCCGATCTCAGCAATGTGCTTGGCACATATATTAATACCTAGTGATTGGGCGTGGGGGAGTCCAAGCCGCCTGCCTTTTGGAACTTTCATGGGAAAATACTTTCTTATACTGTGCACTCAGATACACTTCCACCAAAAGGGGCAAAACAGGATTCAGAGACAGAAGTGTGTTAAGTAGGTACATTCAGAATGAGATTCATTTTCTATGCTTCTTTGGCATATTAAAAGCTATAAATTTTGAGCACTTACTGTATATAAGGCACTGAGCTAAGTGTTTTGTTTTATATATATATATATATATATATATTTAAATATATCTTTATTGATTTCAGAGAGAGGAAAGGAGAGGGAGAGAGAGAGAGACAGAAACATCAATGAGGAGAGAGTCATTGATCAAGCCCACAACCGGGCATGTGCCCTGACCGGGAATCGAACCCCGATCGCCTGGATCCCAGGTCGACGCTCAACCGCTGAGCCACGCCCGGCCAGGCTGCTGTGTTATATATTTTAAATGTGTTTTTGTTGATTCTTAGGAAGGGAGGTGGAGAGAGAGATAGAAACATCCATGAGAGAGAAACATCATGGAGCAGCTGCCTCCTGCATGCCCCCTACTAGGAATTGAGCCCACAACCCGGTCATGTGCCCTGACTGAGAATCGAGCCAGTGACCTCTTGGTTCATGGGTCAACACTCAACCACTGAGCCACGCCGGCCGGGCTGAGCTAAGTGTTTTACATGCATTATTTTAGTTCTTAGAACCCAGTTGTTGGGTTGATGATGCAGCTGGTGCTCAGAAGGGTTACGTAGCAGCAGAACCCTGTTTAAACCCAGGTATTTTTTATTCTAAGTGCATGTCTTTAAGCGCTATACTGTGTCTCATCTTACTCACCCTCATTGTTGGAGTTTTCAGCCCTTGAGAAATCTCTCCCTGTGTAAGTTCACTAACTTTAAATACATTAGATCATGCTTGTTTCCAGCATAAACATTCAGTAAGTGTTAGCCTTTACTTTTGCTATTTTTCCAAATTACACTGACGTGTTCATGACATTGTCATTTCCCCTTATGCAAACTGCACTTTAAAGGCAGAATCAGCTATTTATTTTGTCTGTGAGCTCTGGATATTTATGGGTGTGTTTACATGTATTTGGCCTTCCAGGAGGGCAGCGAGGGTTGAGAGTGAGAGTGAGAAGTGAGCTACTTTGCTACTGTTTCCAGGGAGCTGTCAGTCAGAGGCCGGCGCAGTGTATCTGCAGGGTGCCTGTCTGAGCTCACCAAGGGGCATTGGGTGACGGGTGGCAGAGGTGCCCACAGATACCTCCACAGAGGTAGCCAGACCCCTCGGCGTCTTAGAAAGAACCTTCAGCATAGATCTACTTTGTGTGTTTTCACAGCACAGGATTTGAGGTTGTCTTTTTAAGGCCTGTCATCCCATTTTTCTGCAAATTGGAGAGAGACGGCATCACACTCTAGCTTTTATTTTTGTGCGTACTGTCTCAGTGCATTTAGGTTCTGGAGTTTAAGAAGTAAAACTTGACTAGAGAATAACCCGTTTAGTGAAAATACACGAAGGTAAAATCCTTTTATTGGAACTTAAAATTTTTGATGTAATTTCAGACTTACAGAAAATTAATAAGAATAATATAAGGAACTCCTGTATACCCTTTAACCTATTTTAAAATAGAGTAATACATTTTTTAAATGTTTTTTTTTAAATCGTAGCATTTGCTAATTATATAACAGATCATGTTGTTATTATACTGGTAGAAAAAAATTTGTTAACTGGGCCTGCCCCCCTGCCCATCCCCCAAGCTTCATTGAGATGTAATTCACATATAACATTGTATGAACTTGAGGTGTACATGTGGTTTGATACATTTACATATTGCAGAATGATCGCCACCATGACATTAGTTAGCACCTCCATCCTGTCACATAATTACCATTTCTTTTTGTGGTGAGACATTTAAGAACTTGTGTTTAATTTTAATGCTTTCTAAAGGAATTGTTGTTGTTGTTAATCCTCATGCAAGGATATTTTTTCCCATTGATCTTTAAAGAGAGAGAGAGAGAGAGAGATCGATGTGAGAGGGACACATCGTTTGGTTGCCTTGGCCATGTGTCCCCCGACTGGGCCAGGGATTGAACCTGCAACCCAAGGACATGCCCATCACCAGGAATTAAACCTATGGCCCTTTGGTGTGAGGGTGGACACTCCAACTACTGAGCCACATCAGCCAGGGCCTAAAGGATTTTTTAAATCAAGATTTCCTTCCAGCATAATAGTACTTTTAGAGCCCTGGCCGGTTTGGCTCAGTGGTTTAGCTCAGTGGTTAGTGTGTCGGTCTGCGACTACAGGGTCTCAGGTTTGATTCCTGTCAAGGGCACGTACCTGAGTGGAGGCTTGACCCCCATCCTGATCGGGAGGTGTGTGTGGGAGGCAACCAATCAATGTCTCTCTCGCTCTCCCCCTTCTGCTGTCTCTGAAAAGCAATGGATTTAAAAATATATATATACTACTCTTAGAAATGTTTGTCTCCTTGCATTCAGCCCCTGGTCCCCGTACCTCGAACCCTCTCACAAAATTCTTAAAGATACGCATTAAAAGATTTATGTTTTAAAGTTTTAGGGAAATTCCAATTTGGAGTTTGGGGCTAAAATACTGTTCATTGAAAAGAAATCAGATACTATTTTAGTAGGATTGGAAATATGAGAACATTCAGGTAAATCCCAAGTGTAAGGATTCTAATGGAATAGGGGAAAAATGGGCCTTATTTTACTGTGCAGTTGTAGAATTAAAACGTTCTAGTGGCAAAATGGAAGAGCTTTTATATAGTTCAATTTTAAAATGATGCTTGAACTGACTGCATTAAAACAGTGTAATTAAAGGTATTTGTAAATTTAATACCCAATATGCTGTTTCTTATTTATGTCTTAGAATAAGAAATTTAAATATTTAACTAAGATCTTAGCGCGTGTACTTGTTTTCACATTATTTACATTATGTTAGGATCAAGTGAAATAATTTGTGAGAACAATTTAATTATGAAGTAGAAAAAGACTGCAACATGCAAGGTATTTTTATTTCATTTATAGAAGTGAGCAAGAGAAATAAGCTGTTTATTTAAATAAGGTGACTAAAGGAGCCATCTCTTATCAATATTTGCATGAAGTTATACAGAATTTAATGTATTTGCATTTTTAATTTCAGATTCAAAACGCTAATGATGTATTAATTGCGCCCCTTGAGAAATTCCGAAAAGAACAAATAGGTGCAGCAAAAGTAAGTGTTACATTTTATTCTTCAGATATTCTCCTGCTAATTAAAGATGACATAATTGCAGCTGTTAACATTTTGAAATTAGGTTGACCTTTTAAAAAATTCTGTACGTCATTTTTAACTTTTGCACTGAGCCTATTACAAAGACTGGGGTTTCTTTAAACATAGAAGATATTCTTCTACTGAATAGAGAAAAAGTCAGCATCAGTGAGTTTCTTCCATCCCTGCATTTGTAGGATACTAACTCTATTAAAGGGGCTGAAGTTATGGTAAAATTATGAGCTTAACACCTATAAAATAAAAATTAGGCACAGGGCATATTGGAAATTCAGGCAGTTATCACAAAAGAACTTTTATTATCTATTGTATTTTTTCATTATGAATGAAAACGTGTTTGTGGAAAAACCTTAGACACATTTGTCAAACCTTTGCATTAATGTTTAGTTGATTGTGTACCAATTAAAATTCCCCCAAGCCTAATATTTTCTGAAATTCACTTGCATGCTTTTTCTTAGATCTACATTTTAACTACCTGCACAACATTATGGAAGGACATAAAGTTTGGGGTTTCCAAAACGTAACCCATCATCTCCCCTCTCCCCCATCCTTTCTCTGTTTGGTTTTCTGTTGAGACAGTGACCTACCCCTTCCCCATTCGAACAGCACCACCCATCCGACTACAGAAGGGCTTTTCCTCCTTCCCGCCTTCTCTTCTGTCTGGCACACTGAAATAGCCACCTACTTGGTCTCCACACTCCCATCCTAATCTGTTGACAGATTTCCCCCTCTTTGTCATTCTTCGGTGGTGAGACCTTCAGTGGCCCTCCTTGGGAGACAGTTTAATCCTGACAATGAGACCTCCCTCAGCAGGCCCAGGTGCCTGCTCACCAGCCTCTGTCCATGGCTTTGCCCAACCTCTCTCTCTCCTCCGAATACTTCTTACCCTCCCCTTGTTGAAGTCTTGCTACCTCTCCGTGGCTTATACAGCACCAGAAAGGAGGCGTCCTTTATATAGGCCTTTCCTCATTCACGCTTCCAGAATTGACCCCCCCCATAGAATCCAGTAATCCTCATGCTTATTTCTTGTAAAAAGCTATCACCATCTGCCTCAAATTCGTTTTATATGCATTTCTTCCCCAATTACGAACAATTACCAAGTCAGGGACTATGGCAGGACCATCTTCGTGTTAATTAATGCAGCAAATATTTATCAGTGTCCTGGCTGGCCTACTCGTGGCTGTCCTGGCGTTAAGATGAAGGGACACCGACTGTAAACAAGACGGACACGCTCCCTGCAACTTGCGCCCCTTATTATCTTTTGTGGAAAACAGACACCAGAGTAATTGCAGAGGCACTGAGGGTTGGGATGCAGAAGGGCAGGGTGCTTCGTGAGGGTATAATTAGCGGAACTGACCTTGTCCTGAGAACCAGGAAGGGCTTTCTGGAGGAGGCATTGGTTAAGCAGGGAAAGGACGGGGGAAGAAGTAGCTAGATGGGGGCATGCAGGGGCGGGGAGGGGAGAACCGCCCGCACATTCCAGAAGAAGGAACCGATGGGGAATCGGGACTTTCAAGGGGGACAGAGGCTTGCATTTAAAGGAAAAAGATCTGATGCGCTTGGAATATAGAGGACCGCGGCCACGGAGGACGTGCGCATTTGCAAGCACGACTCCAGCTGCATGTCATGCATGGATTGGAGGAGGCAAGACTGCTGTTGTGAAAGCCAGTTTGGGGGTTACAGGGTAGTGGCTTTAGATTCAGAAGGTGATGGTGGCTGTGGAGAGGAAGGGGTGTATTTCAGGGGTAAGATGGAAAGGGATAGGAAATGGGTTCCACATTGAGAAGTGAGGCCCAGGACACTTCAGAGATGACTCCCAGGGGCCTGGGGTGCGTGAGTCAGTGGCTTTGAAGCTACTTACTGAGATGAGCAACGTTTATGTTTGGATGGCAGGGTGGCGATTTTGGCTTTTAGACACAATGACTTTGAGGTTCCCCCGAGATAGCCAAGTGGGGATGTTGAGTTGTCAGGTGCATAATCAGATTTGAATTAGAAAATACACCTTTGGGAATTATTGTTCCCTAGGTGGTAATTGAGATCCTGGGGGTAGATTAGATCCCACTGGGAAAGCATAGAGTGAGAAGGGGACCTACGTTCTTTATCATTTGAAAACTCTCAACTTTTGATGTTTGGGGAGAGAGAAACAAGACAGGTAAAAGGGCTGAGAAGGAAAGGGCAAAGGAAGGAAGTAACAAGAATATGGTGTTCCAGAGCAAGGAAGAGCCTTTTCAAGAATAAAAATAGCTGATCTTTATTGGCATCTGTATTGTAGGAGTTTTCACTGAACTATGACATCTGTGGCCTAATTAAGTCCTCAAAGCAACCTGTGATGTGATAAAGGTGTCATACCTGTTTTACAAGGAGCACAATGAGTGAGCAGCACTAGGTCACAGAGCTGGGAAGTCAAACAGTGGAGCTAAAATCAAGCTGTTTTACTTCACAACCTTGATTTATAATATTTCACTTCATCAACTTTTATAAAATCGAAGAGCTTTGGAAAAATTATTTTTCTAGTGCAGAATAGTCAGTTTTCTGGCCCATCTAAAATAGTAAATTAAAAAAAAAAAAGATAGTGAATTTTATTCCTGTATGGCCTATTCTTATTTGAAGGTTTAGATTAGCTACAGTTGTAGCAGCGTGAGCAATGGCACCCACTTTATTTTGTAAACATCTCACTTGCTGGATAGACGGCTGAGGGCACACAATAGTGCACTATGGCTTTGCCCGCTCATTACCGGGTTAACCCTGTGGTTCAATGAGCTCAACTGAAATGTTGAGCATAAAGAATAGTGCACTTGGTCCTTTGGTGATGGTGATTCTGCGAATTTTATCTGCTGGATCCTCTTTTTTTATTTTTTTAATGTATCTTTATTGATTTCAGAGAGAGGAAGGGAGAGGGAGAGAGAGATAGAAATATTAATGATGAGAGAGTCATTGATTGAGCCCACAACCCGGGCATGTGCCCTGACCGGGAATCAAACCCCGATCGCCTGGATCCCAGGTCGACGCTCAAACGCTGAGCCATGCCCGGCCGGGCCNGAGAGAGAGATAGAAACATCAATGATGAGAGAGTCATTGATTGAGCCCACAACCCGGGCATGTGCCCTGACCGGGAATCAAACCCCGATCGCCTGGATCCCAGGTCGACGCTCAAACGCTGAGCCATGCCCGGCCGGGCCGGATGCTCTTAATACNGGAGAGAGAGATAGAAATATTAATGATGAGAGAGTCATTGATTGAGCCCACAACCCGGGCATGTGCCCTGACCGGGAATCGAACCCCGATCACCTGGATCCCAGGTCGACGCTCAGCCACTGAGCCACGCCCAGCCGGGCCGGATGCTCTTAATATTAAATTGTGTCTAAGCTGCTAAGTAGCCCTTTTATAGTAAAGTGAATAAAAAACAGGCATTTTCTTCTGAATATAGGTTGGTGTTTAAGCCGGTTTCCTTTTCTTTCGGTATTGCGAAAACATTGTGGCGGGAATAGAAATCCTTGAAGGTGTTTCTTTTTTCCCCCTATTGCTTTACTCCCTGTTTGATGTAGGTATTTTCTTACTTGATAAATAAAGTTATTTCTACAAATGACACTCCCCTACTTTTCACAGTCTTTAAGGCAGAGGTTTCCCAGAAGCGTGCTCAAGCCCATGAGCCAGCTGGAAGGCAAGAAGGTCTGTTAAGTGGAGAATCTTCCACTGCAGTCAGCAACCTTCTTAGCTCGGCCCAAGAGGAAAACGCTGAGTCAAAGTGGCTCTCTCCTCACAACCAGAGGATCCTATTTAACCGGAGTGGATAACATCCATGGGCCACAGATATTTCCTTTGTAGTGTGTACTATGGAGCTTTGAGACACCTGATACTTGGCTGTGGAAAGCAAGGCCCTGAGTGAGTTCCAGTTGAGGGAGAAAAAGCCTCATGCGTCTGTGAGAGGCGTTAGAAAAGGTTGATGGCATCGTGGAGCTCAAGGACAGAGGAGCTGGGTCCTGCTTTTTGAGTAGCTAAAGATTAGAAGAATTATCTATGAACAGCTGTCAAGAATGTATTTATTTAAAGGTTCTTAGTCTAATGGTATTTGCAGGATGGAACTGTATTGCAGGCCTGGCAAGTACATGTATCAGAGTGTGGAACTGAATGTTTGGTGTCTTTAACTTGTCTTCTGATACACGNGTTCTTAGTCTAATGGTATTTGCAGGATGGAACTGTATTGCAGGCCTGGCAAGTACATGTATCAGAGTGTGGAACTGAATGTTTGGTGACTTTAACTTGTCTTCTGATANGTATCAGAGTGTGGAACTGAATGTTTGGTGTCTTTAACTTGTCTTCTGATACACGCACGGCTGCCGATCTAAAGTTTAGAAATGAAGTAGAAGTAGGTATTCAGAACTGTTAATAGCAACTAGAATTTTCATAATATGAATATATCTAGAGCAGCATTGTAATAGAGCAGCATGAATTGTAATTTGTTTCCACACCTTCTGTATAAATTAACAGCTATAGTTCATTGATTATATTGGAAATCTCCTCCTTGCCCCCAGAGAAAAATCAATTGTAAGTCATCTGCATTTTCTACTTGTTTCATCATGAACTGACTCTTACCAATCAAAGACAAATACATTATGGGAAAGAGTGTGTGTGTGTGTGTGTGTGTGTGTGTGTGTGTGTGTAAACACACACACATACCAGACTATTAGATATTTTAAGAGANTGTGTGTGTGTGTGTGTGTGTGTGTGTGTGTGTGTGTGTGTAAACACACATACATACCAGACTATTAGATATTTTAAGAGATAGAACTGCCTTTCAGGAGACCAAGTGCTCATGGTCCACATATAAACAGACTGGGCATCTAGTTGGTGGCACAGCAAGGGCTAGAACATAATTCTTCAAACCAGTTTCCACCTAAGAGTGTTCAAACCTGTAGAGAATTTTTATGAGTTTATTTGAGCCAAAC